TGACCTCTAAATATTCACGCATATTCCGTGTGATTCACTCTGTATATTAATTTTAATTAATGATATTTCTAGCATTTGGAGTGGAACTTGATTGTATGACCAGATGCATGTGAGGATCGGACAAGATGGTGCTCTGTAAGTTTTCTCTACCCTCGGGAGACAAAGGTCTGAGCTTCTGCTTATATAAAAATGAAAAGGCCGCATATGGTGCAAATAGGAAATTTTAACTTGATGCTGAAATACAACTGAAATATTACTATAATTCAAAAATGTCTATGTTTGTTACTCCATACTCCTTGAAATGAAATGAAATTTAGAACAGGGTAGATTACCTAGTGTGGAATATCCCACGGGAACTTGCAGAAGCTAGTACCACATATATTTATTACGCGTAAGTTTTATTGAAATAATTAATTAGGTTATAGAAGCAACTACGATTTTAATTTTCATTCATTTATTCGTCACTCTGAAACGTAAAATGTCAAAAATTATCTATACTTGTATAAATGATAGATAAAAATGTACCTACGCAAGTTCACGTGAACTTTAACTTTGACCTGAGTAATATATGAATGTGCGCACTAAATCATTTCCACAGTAAAATATGCGTAGTAGCCGTTCATCGGATTTTTTTTTACTTTATCATAGAGTATTAGTAATATAAATTCCTTTTAGATTATAGTATTTTTAAAAGAGCAATTACAAAACTGATATTTCGTGTGTAGAAGCAGGAGACTATTAAATATGTATTGCAATTTATATTCTACAAAGGTTTTCCGGAAAGCCCTTGTCGACAATATTAAAAAGGATTGCGTGGAGGTAAATTTTGAATTAACCACACATAAGTACGTACAGGAAGATTAAGTATCGAGATTAACGAAGAAGGAAGGAAATCTACATGCAATATGTTGCGAATTATAAGGTAACAATACCTCTAATAATATCAAAGGAAAAACCGTCTATGACTTGAAGTACCCTAAACCTATAACAATAGATATAGGTGGGAGATTTAACTCGTTGAGTACCGTCATTACAGACACAATTAAAGAACAATAGGTTGCGGTCACCGGTGACCGCTTGGTGTTTGACAGTTTTAAGTATGGGAGAGCCATGCTTCGGCACGAATGGGCCGGCTCGACCGGAGTGATACCACGGGCTCACAAAAAACCGACGTGAAGCAACACTTGTGTTGTGTTTCGCCGTGTGAGTGAGGTTACCGGAGGCCCAGCTCTCTTCCCCCTTGCCCAATCTCCCCAATCCCCGAATCGCCAACAATCCTCAAATTCCTAATCCCCAAAAGGTCGGTAATACACTTACACTCGACGCCGATTGCTTATCATCAGGTGATCATTCTGCTCGTTTACCGGCCATAAAAAAAATCGTCGTTTATTATGCCATAAAAAAATATTTTTTTTTATTTCTGTGCCTAGAACAACCGTCGTAATTAACGTAAATTCGTACCTATGGACAAATAGTTGGGTAAGAAATGACCAAAAAACTATCAAAGAGAACTATTTTTGATCTCAATTACATAGAACTATCTACCATGAAGAGGATCTTTCGCAAAACTAGTATTAATCTTCTAAAACCGAGTTAATCTTGAAAACAATTACAAAGTAACTTAATAAAGCGTAAGATAAGGAGTGTGGTTACTTAGTTACCCAAGAGGCCTTGGGCAATGAAGGCAGTAACCAGCAGCCAGGCCGTGACGTTGACTTAGCATTGTATAACTAGGAACACGAAGACTTACAAAGAAATGTCACGCGAGAGTGTTATGTCACTGTGAAATATTCAGACCGGGTTAGGTTCGGTCTCTGGTCTCCGATATAGGTAGGGAAATTGTTTCCTACTTGTAATTGAGATGTTTCCTTGGTAGGTGTGTGAGTTATCTAGTCGTTCTGATGTTATAATAGTGTGAATTTCATTTATGTTGGTGTAGTTATTCATGTTATATTGGAGCCAGTTATATGCGACATACCGTAGACGATGAAACATTATTGGCGCCATAAAAAGATACGAATAAAAATACGACAGATATTAGATATATGTACTTTTATAAAAGAAAGTCGTGTTAGTTACACTATTTATAACACAAAAATGGCTGCATCGATTTGGATAACGTAAATAGGATACTTTTTTATCGAAGATTTCCAGAAAATCCAACGGGAACGGGACAAAGCTGGATTGCGCGTACGAAGTCGCGGGCACAAGTTAAAGATAAAAAAAAATATCTTCAGATTAAAAAAATGTTATGTTGTTCATTTTAGACATATTAAGAATCTTATAGAATTATTTTGATTGACAAATTAATTCTGCATATTATCGTAAGACTACTTTTACGATGACCCTGAATTTACCTACTTACAAACAAAATATTCATAGGTACTTGAACATTAGGTACAACATATGACACACGCACGAAATCAAACATGGGTTTTTCTGTAAACATGAAATTTTAAAGAACCAACGGACGTTTAACATGTTTGCTAATTGCCCACCTGTCGGTTACAACAGCGGACACCGTCGCCTATCCTTGACACACATCAGAAGATCACAATTTTGACAATAACCGAGCAAGCTTCATTACTTGAATACTTTACCATAACTGCACAATTGTATTATTTTTCTATAATTTTGAGCAATTTTGTGAGATTCTGAGAATATTCAGGTCTATTGTCTTGGACCTTGGTGTTATCATGACAATTCGCATTATTTAGAGGGAAACATTATGAGTATGATGGTGTGGTGAGACTAAAAAATTGTATAAATTATGTGATATGAAAGAAAAAATATTAAAAAAAAAAAATTGTTACTTATTGTTTTCATCCTCATTTGCTTAGCAACAGGGACGGAAGAAGAAAAAGATGACGAAAGTAATTTTGGTTCACTGATCAGTCAGATTACTCATTAAACCACTTCTGAACATTTAAAACATTTCAGGTTTTGTTAAGTCACAGAATATTGTCATGTTATATTCCTAATTAATATGTAAAGTTTAACAAAAATAGTCATAGATACGGAAGGTATTCGGAACAACATTAACACTGAATAAAAACCTATACTGAAACTGAAAATTAGTATATAAAAGTAGATTTAAAAAATTAAATAAACAAAATTTTTAACTTAATATCAGATATAATACTAAATTATATTTTGCCTATTTAAAATTCGTTATAATTCATAATAGTTGTAAAGATACTATATTTTGTCTGTACATAATATTTATAACTTTAGAGACCTTAACCCTGGCACCAATTAATCGATATTTTAACACGTTATCGTTATTTTTATTAATATGACGTGTGAACTGACAATAATAAAATATAGTTACGTGCATAAAGATTTGTATACAAATTGCCAATTTTATTATCTCTATGGTCGTAGAGAATGCGACTTTTTAAGAAAAAAAACATCGTTCATAAATGAAATAATATGTATATGTATGTAAATGGTATCGCTATTTAATACGATTCAAAACCTATTTTCTCTCAAATAAATAATTTACTTACGTATGGATTATTTGATGATGTTCTTAAATGGCCCCATTAGTTAGTATGCAACATATTTATAAAGTTTTGTTGGAAATGAAATAGACCATCTACTGAACAAAAACATATAATAATAATCGTGTAATCTAATCTATATATAGGTATAGTACTAGTAATCTATATAAACTAAACAATAAATAACTAGGACTAACATAAATAGAAACTAAAGTAAAACTAACATAATACAATATAGAAAAATAAGATAGGAAAAAAAGCCGTTTCATTGTATGTATACAAAATCATGTGGCTTACTTGAATTAACCACGGTGTGACAACGTTATGTCTATGTATTGTTTTGAATGCCAGTGCAACGTCTAAAGGTCAATATTTTTGAAAAGCTAGTTGCAACACACTATTTCACCACATCTGGCCACAGACAAAATCTGATCTACACCATTTCATAACACGATTTGAATACTGCCCATGGCTGTATAGTCTGGCATCTGCTGCCTTTAAAAAAAAGTGCTTGACGCTTTGGTAGAACTAGAACTGTTCGATATTCAAACTTGTTAAAATTTTCTTCATTTGAACGAAGCTGACGTATGAATAAAGAATTATCAAATATTTTAAAAATTGTTGAGACAGAAGTAAAATTTACAATAATATAAGTTATAATAATATAAACAAAGATGTGTATCTACTTTAAGTAAATTATGACAATAATACCTATTTGATGCGATTTATTCACATAATATCTTACCCGCCCATATCTTGCCCCATGCATACTTATACTCATGCCAAAACGAAAATTACCTAATATCAGTGCACTTGACTAACACATGCAAATTATCCACCGCTTATATCGTTTGCTACATCATAACTATCTAAATATACACTTTATGTCGAAACTTGAATTTCGCCACCAAACTCGGTCTTAAACCTTTTCTATCATTTAATCACTATCATTCAAAATTTGACGTTATAAACTGCTATTAAATATAACAGTATTAAAAGTTCTGATTACTACAAGTAATTACAACTTCATTATACTATAATGGACATAACCACGGAGCATAGTAGGCTTATTTTGACATTCCTATTATGTCACTTGTTTACTTATCAATACCGTGTTAATGGATGTTTGAGAGCTTGTTTAGATGTAAGTAGGAATGTAATGTTTGACGTTATGTTCAATACAAAATTTTGGTTGTTATATCCTCATAATTACCTATCTATTATTTTCTATTTATAGTTAAGTATTTTACCTTTAATGTTAATAAATAATAAAAAAATACTTGGTTGATATCTACAGGAATAAGGTTTCATTATTTATAAAAAAAATCGATATGATACTTACTGAAAACTAAATGGATTACTCCGACTTCACCACGAGAATCATTAAAAATATGACAAATCTTACATGGAATCGTATGCTATAAGCATTAGCAGAGCACTTAAATGTATTAGTTACTCTTTACGCTAAATAAAACGGAATTATAGAAAAATACTCACGTATGGCAACTGCATTCGCATTTTCCGCAGCTTCTCCAGTGTGGCATATAACAGTCAAACATAACATCAACAGAGACAAAACACAACGGTCGGCCATCTTCATTTTTGTTAAATATTTATTAATATTTTAATAACTAACAAAATGAATTTACAAAAATAATAATATTCAAACTTATTTATTTTTCTTGATTCAAACAATCAATCCATTTTTCACTGAACGTTCGATTTTCGAATAACACTTTGGTTTTATTTTTTATTTATTTTTATTTTTTAATACAAACTTTTTTGACGTTCGAATTTTTTAAATTGCCCGCGTCCGTTGTACTGCGGTTTTAGTTAGCAATAGGCTCGCGGTTGGATGGTAGGCGGACGGGCGCACGACTCATTTTGTTTGAGGTGAAAGCAAGGAGCTATGTGTTTTATTCGCTCAAGATTTTCGACATCCCTGAGTGGACTCCCCACCGCCTTCGAACTATTTACTAAGTCAATGTGGCAGGACGAAGAAATTGTAGGATCTATGTGAAGTTCTTTATGGTGTACGAGCAAGTTGATGAGTAATTATGGTTGTGTCATGCGAACGAGTGCTTGAACAAAGAGGACACGTCTTTGCTAATAGTGTTTGCTTCCTACAGTTGGTCATGCCCTAAAAGTAGATACAACCTCGTCAATTTGCTCGCTATTTTATAGCCGATTGTCTCTGTGTTATTCAAGGAACTATCAATTTTGTTATGACCCTGCGGTTGAGTGCAGTTCTTGAAAATAAATCAACTACGAATTTTCCATCGCAAGATTTTGGTTCAGATGTTTTCAGATTAATTAGTTCGGTCAAGAAATTATGAATGAACACGTGAAATTATAATTTCTGTTCGAATAAACATTTTCTAAAAAAAATCACATGAAAAGTTGGTTTAATTGGTGTCAGACTTCAAAGTCTGCGATCCTGGAATTGGTCTTTATTCTTTCAGAAGATCGTTTAGGAGCAACGCCCTGTCATTGATGGAATATAGAAAATATATATGTAACGCAGATTGGAAATGAACAAACCCATAAAATATTTGAGTTATTTTTTTTTTATCTCTACATACATTTACTTTAACCTAATCACATCTTTACCTATTACCTAGTACTACTACCTACAAATATAAAAAAACCACTGATACAAGAAATTCATAAAATTTAGTACTATAATAATCGGACGTTCCGCAGGCACATGGTGTGACATAATGATAATCACGATATATCGTTACAAACTACGATACATCACGGGTCACATCACAACACGACCTCTCCCGTTATAACGTAGGAAACACAGACTGAGAAGTGTTATCATGGCAACAACGGCCTGAGATGTGTTTTAATGTAACTATCATTAATGAATTCGTAGAATTAAGGGCTCTGTTACTTTTTTCTTAAAAGTTTATTAGTAATACTTTATAATGACTGCCTCAAATGACTGGCAAGGAGTCTCGGTTTCGATTCCCGAGTCGGGCAAAGTATTACTGGGTTTTTTATAAAATTCTCAGTAGTAGCACGGAGTCGGGAATTGTGTCCGACTCGCCCGCTATTACATGGGACTCATAACATAAATAGTGTTATATTGTACAGTGGCATAATGTGCACCTCTGCCGACCCCTTCGGGGATAAAAAGCGTGATGTTATGTTATGTTCCCATGTAATAGGGGTGAGCCTATGGTCATATCCCGGGCACATTTCAAGACTCCGTGCTACTACTGAGATTATTTTTAAAAACCCAATAATTCTTGTCCGAATCCGAGACCTCTTGCCCGGCAGTCGCACTTGCGACCACTCGGCTAATGAAGTAGACCATAGAACATAATAATATAAAGCTTCTTTATATGTTCTGTGAAGTAGACTATATGGATTAATATAAAATTATATTAAACGTAATTAGTGTTCTACGACTAATTACATACATTGTAAACTCGCCCTTATAAAAACCAATTAAATATTTCGATAAGATATTGTAAAAAATTACAATAATTCAGTGACAAAATATTTTACGATGAATACACGTGATGCTGATAGTGGACGCCAAAACATTGCTCCAGTCACATGTAGACGGTTTAACTTACGTTCAGTCTCCATAATTTGGTATGGAGGCAGTACCTAGTATAGGTACAATTGGGCACTTGCCAACTAGTCAAATTAAAAACTTTTTTCGCTTAACTGTCAAAAACGACAGTTGTCTATGAATTTTGTTCGATATCGTGTTTTGTTACGTCACGTTTTTTTAAGCAGCATACCTACTTATTTCTTAAAAATTTGCTGGAAAAATTCTAAAATAAAGTTACTCATAAAATCAGTTAATGAAAGTGTGATTGTATTTTGTATTTTATTGTATTGAACAGTCGAATGAATTTAGTTTTGATTAAGGCAAGTACCCAATTTTGACAGAAGCTGCAAACGAAATGCATCATAATTGCATCTCTGTACAATCAACCGACAGACGTGGATTTTTGTTAAGAGTTGAGACGATATGTGACTTTATATTTTTAATTCTAAATCAATATAAAAATAATATTTTTTTCTATTTTAGAATTGAGATAATTTATCTTTCACATGTGAATACATCGCAATTGAGACAAGTTGAGACAACTGAGACAACGTAATTAATGCACGTCAAACACGCTGACGTTCTTCCACGAAAATGGAGAGAGGCAAAGTGCAGACATCTTTATTTTAATGCCTTGCCATATTATTATACTTACTTGTTTATTATGTACAAGAAAATGACACAACGCGGTACGTAATGGGGATGATGACAGGGTATGAAAATTAAAAATATAATTAGTCCGTAAGTTAGGTAATGAAAAAATATTAGACACGTATTTTTTTATTTTATCGTATAATAAAACAATACTTAGATAAAACGAATCAAAGTTTAGGAGTGGGGGCTAAAACGTCATTGCTTAGTAGGTATAAAATGTACTGAGAAGTGACGTCACGCGACATTTCAAATCAATATATCTTCGAAACTATTCGTTTCTGTGAGAAAATAAAAAATACGTGTCTAATGTTTTTAAATAATCTATCAGACGGACATTAAAATAAAAATTAGTCGTCTACCCTATTGTGTATACTCGTATAACAGCAAGCATGAAAAGGTTTCAATTATAAAATACTAGCGACCCGCCCCGGCTTCGCACGGGTGCAACATGTATATACATACAAACCTTCCTTAAGAATCACTCTATCTATTAAAAAAAACCGCATCAAAATCCGTTGCGTAGTTTTAAAGATCTAAGCATACATACGGACATACAGCGAAAGCGACTTTGTTTTATACTATGTATTGATGTTCTTTTCTTTTTTTTCTTCATTTTTTTTTTCTTTAAAAACTTTAACTGTCACTGTTATGTATGTAGACGATACAATAAATTTTGCTTAGAAGGTATAAATAATCATAGACAATTCGATAGTTTTTTATCTCGCGTTTTATGAAACATTTAAAGTTTCTGTATCTAAATTACTACAAAGGTGTGAGCTGAAAAAAGGTGCATCTTTTGCACTATATTTGGTATCTTCTGTTAGTAGTTCTGGTTGTCAACCTCTGGTTGAGATTGGCCATTAAATCATAATCGATTACAGAACCATTATTATAATAACATTGAATCATTTTCTTTTTCAATGGTTTACCAAGTAATTTTTTATTTACAAATATAATGAATAAATATATACGATTGGTTATGAACATACACAACTTAAAATTAACTAAAACTAAAACAATGAAAAAGAAATATAAAAGTGAAACTTTTACAAATCATAAGATTTTTCCTGGCACTGGCACCAAGAATGTCGTCAACTGGTTTTGTCTACGTGATTTCGTTCTTAATTTAAAGTCGTCATTAGCGTTACTTAATAAAAATCAAGTCAATTGTTTACCAAAGAACTAATTACCATTAAAGTAGTTATTAAAATGACAATATATTATCTGTCGCTGATATTTTAGTCTCGTTTATCGTAAACTGCGGTCATTACTTCTTCACTGATTACTTGTTATGTACCAAACTAATCTTTGTGACAGAGGAATCTTCTGGAATTCGACGTACATTGAACAGTCATTAAATGTTTATAAAGAGGAATGTTTAACCAACTACGCAATGTATACTTATTTGAACAATAGAGTTGAAAGTCCATGAGAACGTAATGATAACTGGATAGCTGTTATTAGAGTAATAATTTACTTGTTATCCAGAATACGATGTGTCTTGACTTAGTGCTATTCCCGCCTTCGAGACAAAAGCTCAACGCGTAACCGAAATAAGTGGCAGTGCTATAAATTCAAAATTAGAACGAAGACAATTTAAAAATTCGAATAATGTCGCGGACATTTTAAAATTTTAGTGAAATAATTTAATTTTAATTTTAGAGTGTTAATTTATTAAAACTATTTTAAATTTTGTTTTAAGAACTAAATACATAATAATAAAAAAATGGGTTTCGACTTCTCGCGAAGGCAGTGGTTGACAATAGTTGTAATATCTATTGCTGACTTCTGCAATGCTATCTGTGTCGCTCTACAGGCGCCGTTTTACCCACAAGAGGTTGGTATTTATTTTTGAATTACTCAAATTACGTTTTTTATTTCCCGAAAGGGGGAACCAAGTACTTGTACGTGTGTAATAACATTTTTGAGACAAGTTTACGTTTAAGGGGGCGTCACAATACACTTAATAATAATATATACTTACTTAGTTATTCATCGATATCGCCAAACACCATTTCAGATTTAGTGGTAAATGAAACAACCCTAAGTGAAATCTAAACCTGAAACTGTCTCCTTAACTTTACTAGATAACGCAAATTTTATTCTGCCTTAATTTCTTATAAGATAATCTTTACAAATAATTGTTACGCTATGTAAAATACGAACACAAATTCTATGTGCAAAAATGTAAGCCAATGCATGTACATCTTTACCGGGGCTCCTGCTCGAAGTGCAGGAGAAGGAACGGGGTGGTTTTTAGTCAGTAAGAGTCTGACACTCCCTCTCGCCTCACCCGGGCGGGAAAAGTCATCCGATGATTTTTCACCCCTTCAAAAAAAAAGCATAAAGTGTACCTACATAACTGCCTACTACTAGCATTAAACTCCTGACTACCGCCATAATTATAAGTAGATAGATAACTACTAAGGGGCGGAACGGCTGAACTCAATCAAAAATATTTGGATCGATTTATATCTATTTGGATATCCCAATAATCGATCTTGTCATCTCTCATCTGTAAATTGAGTAGATTATATTAATGTCGGCAGTTAGAAAATACATCGTGCCTTACTTATATCTGCGATTCACCGAACCACGGCCATGGGTTAAATAAAAAAAAAACAAACAGTCGATGGCATTTCTCACGGCACTCAAATATTGTTGAAATCGTAAATATACGTCTACATATAGGTAAAGCGCGTTATATAACTTTTTCCAAAATCATTTTAGTCCACGTACCCACTGGCGTCCTTGAACGGGCGGTCGATCCACTCTCTAATGTTTCAACATCGAAAACTAAGGATTACAATATGATAACACTTCTTATACATAGTCTGATCCATTCAGAAAGAAAGAAAAACCGTTTATTTGCACCGCTGCAGAAAAAAAAAACAAAAAATAATGTAAAAAAAAACAGAACAATGTATGTACACGGTGCAAAAAGGCCAGTGCTCAGATAAATTGCCGTGTTATTAAATATCTGTGTTCTATGTTCTAAAAAAGGAGACATACAAAAAAAAAGAAAAATCAATGGAGTTTTTTTGTTTTGTTTTGTTTCTTGGTTGTCCTTCTGCATATGGGTGTATCCTTTGGTAGCAACTTACTTCACTAATAAATTGAATATTTATGAATTTACAGTTACTTTTTCAAAATGATTTGAACTCAAATCAAGATAACTTAATCTAGCATTCAGAGTATCTAGATATACCTATTAAAGTTTTAGGACATTTTATTTGTGCACAATAAAAAAGTAAATTATAAATCAGTCAAAGTCAAAATCATTTATTTCAATTAGACTTCCTAGTCTTAGACGAGGAAGGCACTTTTGAACGTTACATACTCGATATACTTTGAGACCTAGACTCCTAACGAATATAGACTAATTACTTTGTTTACATCTATTATTACATTGTGACAATTAAACTGTCTGGATGTACTTCTTCCACGCATAGTAGCGCGTAGTTTATCTTGCTACAATATGAGAACCTAGGCCATCTACATTTAATTCTTAACTGATTATCCTATAGATCTCTTTGTCTCCACCAAAGCGATTGAGGGCTTAATACTAACATCATTTGATATTAAGATATTTATGTTAGTATGTAAGGTATATATGACTCATTGTTGCCTGAAAATAAAGTTTAAATAAAAAAAAACTCGAATCCCATTTCAAGAAAAGTTATTGGAATAGGGATGATGACAGGGTATGAAAATTAAAAATCGAATTAGTCCGTCAGTTAGGTAATGAAAAAATATTAGGCACGTATTTTTTTTATTTTGTCGTATAGGAAAACCATACATAGATAAAACGAATCAAGTTTAGGAGTGGGAGGTAGTTACGTCATTTTAGAGTATAAATCGTACTCAAAAGTGACGTCATGCGATATTTCAAATTAATCTATCTTCGAACTATTCGTTTTCGTAAGAAAAATGTTTTTAAATAATCTACCAGACGGACATTAAAATAAAAATTAGTTATCTACCCTATTGTCAAAAGATGAAGACCGGATTATGTTTGGTGATCAAATACATCTTATTTTTGCACATCTAACAAAAGTGGGAAAATGTAGCTTTTTAATACGTGCATATCTTCATCCCTTCAGAAACAATAACATGAAAATTTTACCACATGTAATCACAAAGGCCGAGGAAAGCTGAAGGTAGTCACAGAGACGGTAGAGATTGACAGTTTGCAGTACATTCTGACCAGCAGTGATAACCTTCGAGCAAAAAGTCGGCTCTTATCAACACAATACAATCGCCAGGCGCTCTCTCATATACCTATATGTACAAGTTAGCACTAACTTATATAATATGGACGTCTAACCTCGAGACAGATTTAAAATTTGTATAACAATCGGGTTTTGGTTTCTAAAATTATTTTAGATTGTATTTTTTTAGTAGGGCTCTTGAACTTGATCGTTGTCAGTTAAAATATTAAAGGAAATGTTTTTTTTATAAAATATTAGCTGACGGGGCGAACTTTGTACCGCCTAATTTTCTATTTTCTCACCTTACTCACCCTAAATCTTCCCTTGACTTCCATAAACATTTCAAGATCAAAATTATTCAAATCAGTTCAGCTGTTTCTCGAGTTTTAGCGAGAATTTTTTTTTTCTTAGTAGAAGATTCTATATAGGTGTACTTTTTTATATTATACTATTAGATAATGGTAAATGTATATGCAATAGAATTAATAAATTATTATCATATCTTTATCTTTTGTATAAAAAGTGCTTAAAACATTCCAATGTTTCACAGATCAATATTTTACGCTTATTATTTTCAAATGTTTTTCGATCTTCACGCATATTTCACGTATTGTAGAACTAACATAAATTGTTACTGCATGCATATTACACATAGTATTGTGCATATAAAATATAATTATATTGGAGGTTATAATACATATACAGTTATGCATGGTTATATACATTTTGACAGTCTACTAAATGATATATGTATATATTTAAATGACGAGTTTCTCTTGAATCATTTTATAGACGCATCGGTTTGTTAACTCACCAATTTATTGTTATGATGACTAAAATTACGAAGTTTATATAAAACTATTTCTTTTACAATTCCTTATCTTTAAACGATATAAGTCGACATGAAGGCGCAATTAATAAGAAACTAATTCTAATCCAAAATCTTTGGACCTCTATAGTTATGTCAAAAGATCGATCTCAATCAAAGAGAGATCGGTTACTAACTGGCTGTTAATCTCATCATCATCATCAACGGCCTTTAAGTGGCCACTGCTGGCATCTTCTCTCACGGAGAAGGTTTTTTTTAAGGGGGGAAAATCATCGAATGACTGCTCCCGCCTGGGTGAGGCGGGAGGGAGTGTCAGACTCTTACTGACTAAAAACCACCCCGTTCCTTCTCCTGCACTTCGAGTCGGAGCCCCGGTAACCCGTTGGGTTCACGGCATATATATGTAGTAACTACAAGTTCAATTACTACAGATTGTAATGCCCTAATCACCTCATTAACCATCTTATGACAAACAAATTAACAAGCCTACATTAATAAATACAGTAATACTGGAATGTTCGAGTTTCGTCCGTCCGCCGTCATGTGATTGTGTACAAACAAGAAATGGGTACAAATCAGATCTCATCTTATCTTCAACTTGTTCTGGAATGAAACAATTAGAGCACGTACTTGAATGATAACGACGGATTTTCATTAACATTTTAATTGGATGAATATTATCACACATTCATATTAGTCTTGCCCTTTTTTGATAGTAGATGACAATCTTTATAAGACTTGAGGAGAAAGTCAAAAACTGAGTAAAACCATGCCTCATTGGCCGAGAAGTCACAAGTGCGACTGCCAGGCAAGGGGTCTCTGGGTTCGATTCCCGGGTAGGGCAAAGTATTACTGGGTTTTTACAAAATCTCAGTAGTAGCACGGAGCCTGGAATTATGCCCGATATATGGCAATAGGCTCACCCTCTATTACACGGGGCTGAAAATATAATTAGTGAAAAATGGGTGTTACATTGTACAGTGACATTAAGTGCCGTAATGTGCACATCTGCCTACCCTTTCGAGGATAAAAGGCGTGATATTATGAATTGTAATGTAATGAATAAAACCAAAATCACAATAAAAATCAATAAAAGTAAGTAATTTTTTAGTACTATTAGACTTTTCTTATAGAGATTAGTCTAATAGCTAACTCACCTGCCGTATTGGGCTTATGAAAACTGTTTTTGACTAAGTACCACTACCAAAATTGACATTGATTACTGCATATCTCTAAAAGTCAAATTCAAAGTATTTATTTCAATTAAACCCTAATTTGGTACTTTTGAAACGTCAACAAAAACAAAATAAATAATAGTCTGTCAGTCAGTCCGTCAGTGAAGCTAGGTGAAGCTAGGTGCTCATTCCAAAATGTATATTCGAATGGAGAAGAACGAGCAAGAAACTCCATTCGTTACTCTTTTTAAAAAAGTATGTTCTACAATATCTACCCTTAACCTAAATTTTCGCTAGCAATACAAAGAATTATGTAATAAAAAGATTATCAAAATGACAGGTCATCGGCCAAAATACGTCGCCGACCAAATAAGGCTGATAAATTCACAATTTTATAAATAGAACATCTGTTTCCAGGAAAATCAGAACCCTTTTCTTTACCATATGCTTCGGCGAAACGTGCTTTCTGAGAATAGAAATTTCTATGAGCCATGCTTTCTGCATCCAGTAGTGTCGTACAAACGTGATTCTATATTACGTTCCACACTCATGCTGACCTGATTCTATTAGCAAATGAACTAAGTTCTTTATTAAATCAATAATCGTGAAAGGTTAATTTCTATGACCTATTAATAATATGACGTGTAGTCTAGATTAATGATTTATAATTGATTTATTTAATTGAGTCTTGTAACTATCGTGGTTATATCAATTACGTGTATGCAACACGAGGTTCTAATCTTGCATCAGTGTGGTTCATTAGTAATACAATGTCCTGAGAACATGTGATGGATTTATCAGTAGGAGAATTTTATCTAATTGACTAGCTACTCCCGCGCGGTTTCACACGGTTTGCTCAGCTCCTATTGGTCGTAGCGTGATGTTTTATACCCTATAGCCATCCTCGATAAATGCACTATCCAACACAAAATGAATTATTCAAATCAGATTTGTAGTTACGGAGATTAGCGCGTTCAAACAAACAAACTCTTCCGCTTTATATAATAGTACTTATAAGATTTTGTACTAATTATTGTACATAATGTTAAACTTACCTACCTAATACCTTTACATAATTATTATATTGTTTGCTGTGACATCATCATCAACGGCCTATAAGTAGCCACTGCTAACCAAAGGCCTCTTCTCACACGAAGAAGGTTTTAGCATTAATCGCCACAATGCTTGCTCAATATTGGTGTGCGATTTCAAACTTATAATTAAAAAGTGACATTGTTGTAGTGTTCCCAATCGTGTACCTTTTTTTTATTTCAGGCAGAGAAGAAAGGATGTACAGCCACAGAGTTTGGGCTTGTGTTCGGTGTGTTCGAGCTGGTCGTGTTTCTAGTCAGTCCTATTTATGGCGCCCACCTCAATAAACTTGGCCCCAAGCTATTGTTTAATGGAGGTATCCTCACAACAGGCACATGCGCCATTTTATTCGGGTAAGAACATTTAGTGAATGTATTTTAAAACATCACAATTAATAAAATCTTTTTTATTTTCAATCAAAAAATCACGTCTATTGAAATTGAAACAGCAATAACAGTTTTAATATCAGTTAATTTTAATAAAACTGGTGTATTAAGTATTTCGAAGCGATTGAGCCACATTTATTTAAAAGTGAAATAGAACAAACATCTTATGGCATCCGTTTATTTTGTTGACCACAAGTTGTCACTAACATTGCTTTGTGTTATTAATTTACAATAAATAATTATTTAATACCAATCAAAGTACTGGACGATAAATAAAAAAAATCAATGGGTTAGCCATACCTACTCTAGCGAAGAAAAAAAAATATAAAAAACAAACCTCTAATGGCAAATGGCATCTAAGATTATTTTAACGTAAAATGGCCAGTTACTTTTCACTTACAACCAATGAGGTTGGATATGAATTACTAAGCCGGGTTTTTCCTCCACAGAATGCTGGATAAAGTGGAAGGCCATGTTCCCTTCATCACCTTGAGCTTTATCATCCGAATCATAGAAGCCATGGGTAATGCTGCATTCCTAACAGCCTCCTTCGCAATCATCGCCAAGGAGTTCCCTAACAATGTGGCTACTATGTTTGTAAGTATTACGTAGATACAAGTATAACAGCTCACACATAGGATCCACTTAGATTTTAGTCAAATTTCCGCGACTGGGCTTCACCCAGTTGTACAGTCTCTTTTCTTTGTGCCTTCAGGCTTAATTCACTCTACTGTGGTTCGAAACTATTAGAGTTTTTCTCAGTATATTCACGTGAGTAAACCGCGATTTTTAGTTAATTTAGTATGTCTCACGATAGTTATTATAATGGTCAATGCAAATATATTTTCCTATAAAAAAATCCTTGCCGTCTTCTTCAGCATAACTATCATACGGGACATATTACATCAGATATAACTCGTATTGCTAAGATTAGCGACACGGTCCGGGTCGTAATTATTCTAAACATTGATCTCGTTTAGCGGAGATAACGTGCCATTGACCTACCACTTATTCATACATCAAAATATTAATATTTAATATGTCGACATTATAGTTCTGAGATATAGGCATCTCTAACTCTCCATGGATATCAAATGTATAACAATCGGATCCAATCGATTGAATGTATCAAGCTTCAAAAGTCAAAAGTCAAAATCATTTATTTCAATTAGACCAGGATGGCACTTTTGAACGTCAAACAACAAAAAATTATAAGTGAAGCTAGTTGCTCATTCCAAGGCGTAGATTCCTATGGAGAAGAACGAGCAAGAAACTCCATAGGTTACTCTTTTTCAATCAGGTTTACAATACAATTCTCTAGTTACATAGTTTTATTGGTTCGATTATGTGAGAACAATGCAACACCTAAATCCAGTCAGAAAGACTGAAAAAGAAAATAACCTTGAGGATAATAATTCCTTGTGCGTACTGCTAAGGGGTGGAATTCTTGAAGGGTATAATCTGGTTGTCTCCAAGACCCGAGTGAGGACGTGCTCCGTCGTAGACCACCAGGCGAGATAGTGGTCAAACGTCGACCATTCAAATAAAAAAAAAATGTTTATGATTTTACCAACTTAAATCATAAATTATATCTAGTAGTAATTCTCATTATAGTGTTTATTCTCATTATACATGTAGTATAATTAGAATTCAATTTTTTTCTTACTTATTTGTTGTTTTATTGTTTTTTTTCTCCTTCCTAAAATGACATAGCAAAGACTTCAATATATACACTTTACTTTGACAGCCTAACAAAATCTTAATCTCATAATTCACTCATTCCAGGCTTCGTTAGAAACCTTCTTTGGTCTTGGTCTGATTGTGGGTCCGACGTTGGGAGGTGCTCTTTATGACTTCGGAGGCTACAGCTTACCCTTTGCCGTATTAGGATCAGCTCTCTTCTGTGCTGCTGTCATGAGTTGCTTGGTGCTGCCCAAGAGTCATGATGATGAAGATCTGAAGCCTAGTGGACGTGAGTAGATTAATATTATTGTAGTTTAATAGACATTCCACCTTAAATTAAAAATATTAAGTTTGATTATTAATTATTAACATGGAATGATTATTTTACTTAAATATTTCTTTCTCTTCATCATCATATAACAATAAAAAGTTTTGTATAGGTACTATATAATTTTAGTTAAACTGCTGAATCAACGCAAAAATAAACCGCAAAAGCCATTTTTTAACGCAAATAAAATATCATAAAAATTAAACTTCTAATTGCATCCGATCATTTTCTTCGCCATAAATTGCAAGACATGTTATAACATAACATCACGCCTTTTATCCCCGAAAGGGTAGGCAGAGGTGCACGTTACGGTACTTAATGCCACTGTACAATGTAACAACATAACTAATTTTTCACTATTTATGTTATGAGTCCCATGTAATAGGTAGTGAGCCACATATACCAGGCACATTTCCAGACTCCGTGCTACTACTGAGATTTAAAAAACCCAGTAATATGTTATAGTTAAGTATTATTACAATAAATACTTTTCATGTAAACGATTTACTTAACGGGCTGATAGATCGAAAAAAAATCAAAAATAGCCATATTTTTGCAAACAAAAAATTAATTAAAAGTAAATCACTAATGGCATCGGTCACTTTTATATATCTATGCACTTTTTACACTAAAGTCACCAGTAATCTACGTTACAACCAAAGAGGTGGAATATAAGTTTTTTTTATTTGTCCTAATTTAAGCGTACTTTCTTTATCTTTGTCTTAATCTTCCTACCTACTTACCTTATTGTTTTGCGGTTAGATTGTTGAGTAGGTAAATGTAAATGCAACGATTTGTCAAATTGACTCTTGCTCATAACTTGATTTTTAAAACTCAACCATAGTGTTTGTGTACCTATAGATAAATAGTTTTTTTATTCCTAATTTAAAAAAAGACTAGGACGATAGTAGAAAAATCGTCAATTTCGAACGATAACTAGGTAACCAATGATCAATTTGTTTACAGCGTCAATGATATCGCTACTGAAGGTGCCTGGTGTGGTACTGTCTGCACTAAGTATCATGATGACCAGTATGAGCATAGGATTCCTGCAGGCGACTCTTGAACCACATCTCCGTCAAGTATGTTTAAAACTAGAAAAGTGCTCCGTTTACTCAATACATTTTCAATTAACTCTTCAATTTAGTGAAATTTTATAGCAAGATGGAGCTTTAAATTTTTTTTTCATTGTTATCATAATAACGCTTTAATACATAGCCCCTTGGATATGGTAGATAATTTTAACTGCAGGGTTGGCGCGGTGATTGGGCAACTGGCTGCCGCGCAACGTGTCGCGGGTTCGATTCCTGCACGAAACAAGTCTTTGTGTGATCCATAGATTCTTGTTCCGGGTCTGGGTGTGATGTGTATGTGAACTAGTATATTTGTAAACGCACCCACGACACAGGAGAAAATCCTAGTGTGGGGCAACGTTTAAAAATAAAATTACAACTTTATCAACTTCAAATTAAGACTTATTTCCCTTTAAACTAACCTTTTTAATTTTCCCCCTCAGTTCCAGTTCTCATCCATGGTGCTAGGTCTAATGTTCGTGATCAATGGGGGTGTGTACGCCGTCTCCGCGCCAGGCTGGGGCTGGTTATGTGACCACCCCGCCATCAAGCAGAAGTACGTCATCGCTGTAGGATGTGCTTTTGTGGCTGCCGGGTTCCTCCTCATTGGACCTGCACCGTTCTTTGATATGGAAACGTAAGTGTTATATTAGATAAGAAAGATATACTGATTATCCATCATGTAGTCTTGATTCAAATTAACTGTACCTATATCAGTAAATTAAGTAAAATCGCGGGTTACTCACGTGAATATACTGAGAAAAGCTCTACTAGTTTCGAACCACAGAGGGGTTCTTCCTAATGAGCAGCGTGGCAACGTTGCGATGCTCACTGGTTAGTATGTCTCACGCTAGTTATTATAAAAACATGTATATCAGTATTTTACATAGATAGACTACTCTTCACAAGTCGTAAATATTATAATTAGTCTTGATGGAGCTACAAAATGTGCTCCTCACTAGCTATCAGGTACTGAAGTTCGTATTCTTGACAGTAAAGATGGTCTTTATGTGACATAGCGCCTGCTAAAAAAATAATAGCAAACCTCAATCACGCACGTAAACATAAAAACTTAAACATCATTTCACAATAAAGGTCTTTGACTTTGATTTCAAAATACATATATGAACTTCAATTTATAAAATAACCTATTTAATTTTTTTTTATTCTTGGCCATGGTCGTCCCACTGCAGGGCAACCTCTACCCACCTTCCACTCATCTCTTCTTAAAGCTTTCTGTGTTTTTTTCTCAACCCTTTTCATAGGCGTCAAATTTATCCCGCCATCTCCTTCTGGGTCTTTTTTTTTATCATCCAATGCCTTCTCCCACCCGGGTGAGGCGAGAGGGAGTGTCAGACTCTTACTGACTAAAAATCACCCCGTTCCTTCTCCTGCACTTCGATGTCTATTGACGTTAAGTGGGTTCCATGCAGTAGAGAATTTTGCCCAGCGCTCGTCTCACATGCGCCGCGGCAGACATGACCAGGCAATTAAACATAATATACCTAATTCTTTATTTTATCATTTTACAGCCAAATGTGGGCAGTGATACTTGGTTTAACACTCCACGGCCTGGGCATGGGCAGTCAGCTCGTCGCATCGTTCTCTGATGCCCTCGGAACGGCTATGTAAGTAACCTATACTATCTTGAATACTTGATTTTAGAACTTGTTGCTACAAGCACTAAGTCTATAGTAAAAAAAAATATAACTATGAAAATTTTAGAGGAAGATGCTTTTTACTTTGTCAATTTAAATGACGAAAACATCCCATTATAATATTGTTTACTAGACGACCCATATGAGGCTCCTATTACTACTCCATCCAAAGGTTGTCTGTAAAAAATCGCCTTTCGTTATAAGACTACCCATTGTACACCATTTTTGTTGATGTACGTCTTATGATGATTGTGTAGTGTACAATAAAGTATGTAATAATATTAATAAAACTATACAACACACAACATAACATCACGCCTTTTATCCCCAAAGGGGTAGGCAGAGATGCTAGTGTACAATATTATAACACCCACTTTTCACTATTTATGTTCATGAGTTCCATGTAATAGCGGGTGCTACTACTGAGATTTTATTTAAAAACCCAGTAATACTTTGCCCGGTCTGGGAATCGAATCAGAGACCCCTTGCCCGGCAGTCGCACTTGCGACCACTCGCCAATGAAGCAGAAGCAATGAACCATACAACTTGACTCAAAAATCTAGATCTCAGATTCTAGACATAATTGATAGAGATTGGTTGAGTCTATTGCCGTTTACCATAATTCAATTCCAGTTTCCCAACTCCTGAACGTTGAATCTAAAAAGCTCCTACAGTTTCCTACCGAAAACTTCACAAACGGAAACCTAACATGATCAATACTGGTAGACAACTAATCAATTCTTCAATTCTTCATTCCTTCAGTGCAAGCGGTCTCCCCAACTCCATTGAGACGTATGGACTGGTGTCAGGCATGTGGACCTCCACGTTCGCTTTAGGCGCGTTCATCGGTCCCACTGTATCAGGTCTGCTGTTTGACTCCATCGGCTTCCGCAGCTCCACGCTCTTCGTATTCATCCTACACCTGATTGTGGTAAGTAAACTCAGAAAGAAACATAAAGTGTCTACAAATAAATATTCAATCGAGACACGCAATAAGGGCAACCACATACATAAAATTTCAATACTGTTTGATTAAATAAGCCAGTGAGTCTTTGGGAATACACTGAAAAGTCAGGAGTAGCTGTTTGACTCGGTGTGATTATATTTGTGTTCCTTGTAATAGAATTTGAATTCCATAATCCAAACTTATAATAATCTGAACTCAAGACTCAAGACAGCCATCGCGGAGAACCTAACGGGTAACCGGGGCTCCGGCTCGACGTGCAGGAGAAGGAACGGGGTGGTTTTTAGTCAGTAAGAGTCTGACACTCCCTCCCGCCTCACCCAGACGGGAGCAGCCATTCAATGATTTCCCCCCCTTAAAAAATAAAGACTCAAGATAGCCGACAGGCACCATTTTGAAAATTCCCCAATAAGAAACATTCTCTCTAACGGTTTTATTTTCTTCCCAGATGGTGTTGATGCTAATGTTCACCTGGACGTGTGACCGTTCATCCAAGATGGACGTTTCCGTATCGGCTGGAGACTTACTGCAGATTGACGGAACGCTTGACGAGAGTGTCCTCATTGGAGACAAGTTCCTACCTCCTCCGAGGACTAAGAGGTAAGTTCTAGTATATTCTGGAATGTTCCATGCATGTGCTTGAAGTTCCTGAGAGCTACAGGTAGTATACCAGTGACCGTTACGCCTGACACACTGGATGATTAGATAGATACCCTGTTCTTACATTGTTATTGAAGTCTTTCTTTGATGATCATATCCAAACTCTTTTTATTCTTTTAAAGCTTCTTTTAAGTTCTTATTGTGTTGGTCTTCTGCATGTCATCTTCCCCCCACCACTCCGCCCCTTACTTCTTTAAGAATGTTTTCCATATTAAAAACTTTTCTGTTAATAGTTCTAGTATGTCTTTCTATAAGAAAAACTGGGAAAATTACTTAAGATAAATAATTGATGGTAGTCCTTTGCACGTGTTTTGCAATTTACTCCTTTGCACAATAATCTTTATTCCATTTAATTTTCCGATGTGAGAAAGCGTGACGGTCATATATTATTTATTTATTTATCGTATGTCTAAGATGGGCGAGCCGAAGTCAGGTGGAAGATCCCCTGGTTGAAAACATGGTCATCGGTGACAATCTACAAGATCAAAGGACTAGAAGGTAATGTGGTACCAGTGGCTTTATTTATCTGGTATTTTAATTAACGATTTGAATATTTGCGTCTCTTTGTTTCTATGTTATCACCTTCCTGTACCTACTTATACCAAGTTAGTTAGAGTAGGTGGTAGGTGCAGTCTGTCATCTATCCTTTTTCTTCGCCTTTGCTACTGCCTTTTCTTTTATATCGTTCTTTACCCAATCTTTTTATAACAACTACCATGAGACATTCTAAATTAAATAAAAATCGTCGGTTACTCGCGGCTCATGAAGAGAAGCTTCTCTGTGGCTCGAAACGAGTTGAGCTTTTCTCAGTATTGAGCTCAGTGAATAACCCGCAATTTTTAGTTAATTCGCCCAATCTTTAGGTCATCTTACTCAGTTTCATCCACATTTAAATTCAGCACTTATTTTATTTAGTTACCTACATGATTTTCTTACCCTTATTACCTGGTGATAGAAACAAATTTCGCGTGACGCATTTCGAAATACAGTACCCTATCTTTTGTACTTTACCATTGTCTACTATCTACATCATTATTGACTAACTATAAGCGTTTAAATATCAGCTTTAAAAAAACATGCCTGACTGCGAATACTCATGAATCATGTAACAATCATATCCAATAATCTCTCTGTCTAACCGCAGTCTCTCTTGCAGTCGCCGCTGTGGTATCAGCGTGGAACAGTCCCGTCCTCCAGCCATGAACAGCCTGATCGCTTGCTCCAGCTACAAGAACAGGAGGAGTCCCTGGAGCCAACGTACTCCAAGATACAGGCCTACTTACGGCAGCCTCGACCATAGATACAGGGGGGCTTATAACACATAAGTCAATTAAAAAGGTTGTAAAATAAGATTAATTATCAACTTTTTATTATTATCTGTATATTTTGCGTTGTGAGAAAAATGGCTGCTCGTAAAAGTATACAAAATTGTTAATTTCAGTTTCTGTAAGGTTGAAAATGAATCGTTCGCAAGATCGGGAGATCCATGCAGCTATTTACCAAATACTATTATTATTATTATATTCCTATTTAAGTACATTATAAGAGAGATATTTTAATAGATGATAATTTTTTGTTTAGTTTTACGTCTAAATCTCAATGCGTCGTTATTTTTATTTAATACCAAATATTCTTAATTTAAAATAAATGTGGCAGATACAATAATTTTGAAAGTGTTTAGTGAAGATATGTAGCTAAGCAAGTATTTCATTGATGTTTATAAATATGTTATTATTTTATTATAGGAAATAGTATACATAATTATAATTTTAATGAGTCTAGTTTATGTTGTATATCAGTACCGTTTTATTATAATTCATTTTATAATTACCTATGAATAATAATGTTGTAAATATGTATCATATTTCTAGTTTTATTTTTCTGTGAAAATACTTTAGTTCAATAAAGATTTTTTATTACTTTATTGCTGCACCTTTACCTTCCCTTGTTTTGTTTTCCCTTTGCTTTACCCTTTGCTTTACCTTCCCTTGTTTTGTTTTTCTTAATCGAAGCATAAGTACGAACTTTAACCGGTTGTTGCACCGATATGAGACATACATTTTGACACAGAAAATACATTTTGTCTCGCATGGATCCTCGTTTAGACACACGACAGGTTAAACATTTTTTATTTCAATAAATGGACTGCTTGGAAAATCTAGGCTCCATGCTCCATCCATCTAGAACCTAACGGGTTACCGGGGCTCCGGCTCGAAGTGCAGGAGCAGGAACGGGGTGGTTTTTGTCAGTAAGAGTCTGACGCTCACTCCTGTCTCACCCAGGCGGAAGCAGTCACTCGATGATTTTCCCCCCTTAAAAAAAATCCATCTCATCTTTTACGGAATATTGTTTTCTAAGCCTACTTATTTACAGATTTGTAAATTATTAAGTAGAGGTAATAAATTACATAATAGAGCATTAAAATAAATACATTAGCAACAAGTTCAGTAATGATACACGTAATTACAACTTCATAATGAGGACATTCCAGCTATGAGTGTCAAGACGCCTAGACGTGTTTGCGATAGAATTTATGCACTTGATAGACACTTAAGCCAAGTCTAGACTTAGGGTAACATCAGCCCACCACGGATGGGGCACAATAGGGCTGATGCCGATTCGGATTCGCGAAGAACCTAACGGGTTTTTTTTTTTTTTTTTAAGGGGGGAAAATCATCGAATGACTGCCCCCGCCTGGGTGAGGCGGGAGGGAGTGTCAGACTCTTACTGACTAAAAACCACCCCGTTCCTTCTCCTGCACGTCGAGCCGGAGCCCCGGTTACCCGTTAGGTTCTCCGCGACTCCGAATCGGCATCGGCCCTATTGGACCCCATCTGTGGTGGTCTGATGGCTCTTTGAGGCGCGCGCGGAACGCGACGCGCCGTACGCTCGGGTCTGTTTCTGGTCGGACGGGGAGCCACCCATGCTCGCCGTCCGCAGGCCCGCGCTTACGGTGGCCGGAGATCGTCCCGCGATCCCCGACGCCCGGTGTGTCCTTCGCGATGGCTGGGTTGCGAGGAGGCAGCGCTTCGCTGCCTCACGCGTCCCGCCTCCTCCTTAGCTAGCATGACTGCTTCGCAAAGGAGGAGACGGCATCCCAATCCCCCTCGCTCCGCATCATGGCCTGCACTAGGCCCGGACGCGAGAGGTCGCCATCGCCGATCACTTCCCTAAGGACACGGCGGTGCTCAGCCCACGAAGGGCATTCTCCCACCGTGTGTTCCACCGTGTCCTCAGGGCGGTCCTCGCAGTGATGACACCCGGGCGTTTCCTCCCGCCCCATCAGACACAGGTACCTCCCGAAACTGCCATGTCCGGTGAGGACCTGCGTCAGGCGGTAGGTGAGGACGCCGTAGCGTCTCTCAAGCCACTCCTCAAAGAGGGGACTTACCGCTGCAATGGCAGCGAGCCCAGCCCTCGGTTGCGACAGTCGTTGCTGCCATTCCGCCATGAGATCGCGCCGGAGCTCATCCCGCCACGCACTTATCTGGCGCGGCAGCGGAGTTTCGCCCCGGCGACGTGCCTCCGCGCGCATGCTGTGCACGCGCGCGAGCACCTTCGCCTCCAGATCCCACGGCGGTAATCCGGCAAGGAGGTTCGCCGACTCCCCAGAGATCGTGCGGTATCCGCGGATCATTCGGATCGCCATGACCCTCTGTGCCATGAGCAGCGTCCGAGCGGGACGCCGCAACAGGTTAGGCGCCCAAACAGGGGCGCCGTAGAGGGCCATGGACCGCACGACCCCGGCGTATAACCTCCGGCAGGAGGCGTTTGGCCCCCCGAGGTTGGGGAGGATGCGTTTAAACGCAGCCCCCGTCCTCTCCAACTTTGGAGCCAAACGTCGGAAGTGTTCTATGAAGTTCCACCGACTGTCGAGGACGAGTCCTAGGTACTTCATCGTCGTCTCGACGCCGATGGTAACTCCTCCCGCCGTTATTTGGGACCCACCCGGAGGTGGCGCGTTCCCGCGGCCATGAAAACACATGGCCTCGGACTTGTGGAGCGCCACCTCGAGTCCCAACTGCCGGATTCTCTCAACGACTGTCGCAACCGCTGTCGCCATTAAGTCGGCCGCCGCCTGGTGTGACCTCCCGTGCGCCAGCACCAGCGTATCGTCGGCGTAGCATATAGTGCTAACGCCGTTCGGGAGGTCGGTGCGCAGCACCCAGTCATAGCCGATGTTCCACAGGAGCGGCCCCAGAACCGAACCCTGTGGAACACCGCGTGACATCTCTAACCTAACGGGTTACCGGGGCTCCGGCTCGAAGTGCAGGAGAAGAAACGGGGTGGTTTTTAGTCAGTAAGAGTCTATTGATCCCACTGTGCTTTAGATACCTACTTTAGTCCATTCACTTCTGCATTAGAAAACGAGGTTCATAGAAGGAATATAAGAAAATGAATGATGTGCACCCCTCACAACATATACTTTTGAAATGAATTCCAAGTATTAAAATTAATAATGATTTTAATATAAAACATTAGATTAAATTTTGATAATTTTCTCGTCTTACCTTACAGTATCATACTCATATTCTTTAAGGCACCTTTACTAGGTAGGTACAATGCAGCAATGATGGTATCGAATCTGTGACTCGTAGCACAAGAGTTGATTGTCTAGCCACTGTACCAATCATTCATGTCAGAATGACATTTACCTACGTCAGAATTTTGCTATAGTGTAAACTTGTCCTTATATTGCATTGCCAATTAATATTCCATTTCGGACGCCACACTAACTAGCTTTACATAAATAATTATGAATAATGAAAACGTGTTTGTATTTCTATGTGGTAGTTTGTTTTAAATTATTTATTTACTTACGTACTTCGGGGAACATATATATATTATTAGAAAACTTAAAAACTCTCATAGATTTTACCTTACTTTTGATATTAGCAACTTGTTGGGTTTAAACCACATCAGATTTTAGAAACTCAGAAAGCAGAGAAATTATAAAGTACAGCTATTAGGTACAATGCACTTACATTGTGTAACAGCGAAATCAAATTACAAAATCAGGACTAGCTAAACCTAACTATTAATTGGAAAAAATAACAACTAGACTTTCAAATAGATTGAAATTCCCTAAACACCAAATACGCCGTCTCAATAACTCCGGAGTTCCCGCCATCTTGATTTTTTCATTTCTCGAACCACAGATTAAATTTTCCCGCTACGCAATGACGTTTCTTTTTTTTATCTATGCTTCTACAAATATTTTATTTTATTTTTAATTAAGGTGAACAGCAAACAGCTGAATTATAAAGGCTATGATGTTGATAATTTTATAATCTGTCTTATGTTCTTTATTCTGCCCTTTTACTAATAGCTAGTACCAACGTGTCTAGCTATTAAAGTCAGTTTTCCACATGCAGTGGTTGGTGATAGATTTTTGACAGATTTTTAAATTTACAGAATATATTCGTAAATATGGTCAAATACTCAAACGAACTCAATTTTAAGACACTCTCAAAAACAGTTCTGTCACTACAAATTCTTTGTCAGAGATAGCGCGATATTTAAGATTATTTTATAATTTAAAATAGCATTATAGTATTCGGACATTAAATCTATTCTTAGATAGGTCCATCAACAATTAGGCCTGGCCTGTCGCAGTTTACCTCTTAAATATTTTCCTATCATATAAACTTAATCTTACACAAAATCTAAACGCAATATAGGTACTACGTACTACGTAAGTATGTATAAACAACATTACAGAAATGTAAGCTCACACACATCAAACTGCAAATACTTTATCCATTGCCGTTTAACTACAATATACAAACATAGATCTTGAACAAAACCACCAATGAACAGCATCCAATGCCATAATGCCAAGAGATGAGTAGTTCCCATGCATAAAGGTCAGATACCCACAGCGAAGGTGGGCAGAGGTCGAGGCACACTTGACATGGCGCGCAATGCGCAGGCGCAGTAATGTGTAATATACATAATAATAGGATAGAATTCGTGAAAGTTTGTGCTTCGTGGAGATGGGTAAGACTTAACGTGGTATAAGCATTTTGTATGTGTAGAGTAGTATTAAAGAAGAAAAGCGAAATAGGTATGTAAGAAGTGTAGCAATTGGCGTTCCATAGGGATTTGATAGCAATTGCTATCAAAGGGAGACAGGCGTGAAGTTATATATATATTAAAATTAGCTTTTGCCAACGGTTTTGTCCGCGTTGTCAGGGGTAAAAGTAGCCTATCTGTAAGATCATAATCTACGTCTGTTCCAAAATCCATTCCGGTCCCGGTAAGTCGTTTTGATATTAACAATTTTGATATTAACAAACAGACTTCACATTTTAATGTTGCCATG